TTTTTTTTTTTTTTTTTTTTTTTTCCTCTGGTGCTGGGCATTGAACTCGGTATTTCTGCTGCCAAAGTGAGCACTTGGGGATCAAACTCAGGACCTTGCGCTTGTTTGGCAGGCACAGTACCACTGAAATACATCCCCCGGCCCAGCCCTACTTTGTCATTTTTTTGACTGGACATGTTCAGATCTTTTATTGTTTGGGGAGCCTGTTTACCAGGGTTTGCAACCTGGTCCTCCCTAGGATTGGTTGTTGGGTAGGCCCATGAGATGGTGTTAGGGTTTAGATCTAAAGTGGCCTCCAAAAGCCTCAGTGTTTGGAAGATGATTGGATTATAGAGGTGCTGTACCCATTAGTAGAATAATCCATTTGTGACTCTATAGCTAAATATACTGTGAGGAGGTAGGGTCTGATTGGAAGAGTAAGGTCCTGAGGGTGTGAACTGGAAGGATATATGGCCCCCTCTGGCTCCTTCCTTCATTCTCTACTTCCAGGTCATCATGATGTGGAGCTTTCCTCAACCACACTCTTGCACTATGCCTTTCCTGCCTCAGAGCCAGCTGACTATGGACTAAAACCATGAGTCCAAATAAAATTCTGCTCCTTTAAATTGTAGGTATGAGTCAGAAGCTAAGAAAGGTGGAATTAAAGATATCAGTGATTTGCTTCTTTTTGTTGTTGACATTATTTTCACATGATCACTGTATGCTTACTTATAGGATAGAATAATCATGTAAAACCATGCCACAGACCTTGAGAAAACCTACTTAAATATTTTACATGAACAGCTTGAAAGCTCCTTTTTTTCAAGGTTAGCCAAAAAGGAAATACTTTAAATTGAAAGCTCTCTACAGGAGAGTAATACTTTTCTCTTCATCTTGCAAGACAGTATTCTTGTGTATCCTATGGCTTCTCTCTCTCTCCCACTCCTTTTTCTACCTGTCCACTGGCTGAGGACCTTCTCATCCTTCTTTTTCTCTGGCAACTACTTTTATCATTTGCACTGCAAGAAGGGTAGACAATCAAAGAGCAAGGGCCCATACTTAGAGAACTGGCTACATCATCTAAGGTTCTCTGTTCTCTTTCAGATTTTCTCTTAATCATTCATTGTTTCAGTGTTCTTATATTTTTGTCATTCAGATTCAGCAAGTTAAAAAATGCTAAATTCCAGGGATTTGGGCTTAGAATTGAGGAAAGCCTAATGCCTTTAGCTTAAACTAAACTGGTTTTCTGTGGTAGGTGAAGTGTAGGTCCTTTGCTTTCCACTTTGCATTGTTCATGTCTTTCTCCCTCACAATTTCACGGGGAACTGGTTTCTGGGGTAAGACAGAAAGAACAGCTGAATCTTCCTGTAGAATACTCTCTAGACTACTGAACAGTGATTCACTCAAGCAACGTGTTTGTTTACATATTGACTACCCTGAGCATCACTCAGGAAGGTCATTTCAGCCAGTCGATCTTTGTATTGAATAAATTTGATAAAATTATGGTTTTTCTATTTCCTGTTATCTTTTAAAAATTAATGAAAAAATATCAGTATTTGGTCATCCTGTATTTTAATAACTGAACTAGTAAGTGATTAATGGCACCAAAACTTAAAATTAGTATCTAAAAGTAAATTGTGGTATCATGAAGAGATATATACAAGTTATAGTGGCAGCATAGAGTAATGCAAAATTCTGTCATGGAGAGATATATGACCTAAACATTGAAAGACAAATTTAATTAGAAAAGGTATGTGTTCCAGGTAGAAAATTATAGGTACAAAGTTGGCTTGAAATTTCTGTCATGTTCAGGATCAGGATATTCAATTCCTTTTATTTTTTTCTTGGTGATGTTTTTATAGAATTAAAGGTATAGTTGTCCCTAATACTGTGCAATCTTTAATTTTTCTTTAAAAAGGTGCTTCCTGGGTGAGTTGGGGTTTAGTCAAAGGTGCTGAATTTACTGGCAAAGCAATCCAGAAAGGTGCTTCTAAACTCCGAGAACGGATTCAGCCAGAAGAAAAGCCAGTGGAAGTTAGTCCAGCTGTCAGCAAGGGGCTTTATATAGCCAAGCAGGCTACCGGAGGAGCAGCCAAAGTCAGCCAGTTCCTGGGTAAAGTACTTAAAATCTCTTACTCTCCAGTTAATTTAGAGCTGGGGATTTAGCTCAGTGATTCCACCGCCTGCCTTACAAGCACAAAGTCCAGAGTTCAGTCCCTGGTACCAAAAAAGAAAAAAATAGTTAATTTAAATGTTCACTTAGATAGTTCAACTTGAAAAAGAAAGAATTAGAACAAAACAGTTTCACCTTGTTACTCATAGTGGGACCTATGCCCAATATCAGTAGCCAACTGGGGGCCTTAGAAATCATTTCAGGCATCAGGCACACCTGATTCAGAATCTGCATTGTTTATAAGATCCCTAGGTGATTCTGTTAAATTCCTAGAAACTAATTAAAGGATTGTTTTTGTATGTGTTAGTACCATGTGTCTTTGAAAGCACTTCTGAGTGTATTTAAATATCTGTCTTGAATCTGTTTAAGGGCTATAACACATTCTTTATAGTCCTGCAGCTCACTACAGCAGTACAAGGTCAAGAGGGAGGGATATATAGTATTGTTTAAGCTAAGCAGATTTTGTAATTTTGTTGCCAGTCTTCCCAAGCAATATACTGCTTACTTTGTCTTAAGAATCATAGCAGTTGGGCCAGGGATTTAGCTTTGCCACCTGCCTCACGAGCACAAGGTCCTGAGTTCAATACCTGGTACCATTAAAAAAAAAAAGAATCATAGCATTAAGTTTGATGTGTTAAAATGATCAAAGTAATCCATAATGGTTACTATTAAATTTAATGAAATTATCGTTGGTATTCAGTATTCCTTGAATCAAATTTTGGGTTGTATGCTTTTGCAAATTTAAATACCTTACTATTATTTCACTGAAATATTTACTTATAGAAAAAATATAAATATGCTTAGCTGAAAAACACTAAAGGTATACCTACTGACTTTGTATTCCAGCAATCAGATAGAAAAAGTGGATGATTTTAAGCAGAAGTGCCAAGAAGAACATGTAGATCCAAGAGGCAAGGTTATCAGTAGACTATGCAAATACATCTTTAAACCAAATGTTAGCCTTTGTTTAAAACTAGCCAGCCTAGTATCTTGTCCTTAAGTAGAAATGTTAATATTAATGCAGAAGAACAATTGTACTTGCTTGTTTAGGAAGTTTGCTAAATAATAATGGTAAAATCAAGAAAGAAGCAATTTTTCTCTTTTTATGGTTACATTAGTTGATGGAGTTTGCACTGTAGCGAATTGTGTTGGAAAAGAATTAGCTCCACACGTTAAGAAGCATGGAAGCAAACTTGTTCCAGAATCTCTTAAAAGAGACAAAGATGGAAAGTCTACACTGGATGGTGCTATGGTTGTTGCAGCAAGTAGTGTTCAAGGTAATAAAAGGTCCCAGGCTTCTATTTATTTTTTTAATTTATTTTTGCAATTCTGGTGATTAACCCCAGGCTTTATGCATCCTGGGCAAGTGCTCTACCACATACTGATCATATCCTCATTCCTCATTATTTTAACTAGGGAGATCAATTTGTTTTGTTTTGCTTTATTTTTTGAGACAAGGTCTCACTGTGTAGCTCAGGTTAGCTTTGAACTCACAGTGTAGCCTAAGCTAGCCTTGACCCATAATCATCCTCCTGCCTCAGCTTCCCACATAATGGGATAACAGGTGTATGCTACCACACCCAGCAAGATCTATTTGTTTTAAGCTTGATTTACCTTTAAATATATTTGCAGGATTTTCAACTGTCTGGCAGGGGTTGGAATGTGCAGCTAAATGCATTGTTGACAATGTTTCAGCGGAAACTGTACAGACTGTCAGATACAAGTAAGTTGAATATTGTAATTTTAATGACTAAATCTCTTGTATCATTTGTAAAAGTCCATGATAGTTAAGATGATTGGGTGGTTATTTTGTTAAATGTCTAGAAACAATTTTCTTTTCACTCATCGTATTTCCTAAAGAGGGAGAATATTTTTAGCTTAACAGAATTCCTGTAACTTTGCTTTATATTGTTAATTATTATAAGTGTTAATCATTAGTGTAATAGGTTTGTTTTTTTTTAAAGCCTAGGATATTTTATATATCTTGTTAAGGATAATACGTGTTTTTCATAGTGATATTTGCCTGCAAAAACTTGATTAAACTATAGGGCCTCATTATCATATACCCCATTCTGTATACCAAGACCACTATGTATTTATACTGAAATGGAAAGAGAATTTTCTTATATTTCATTTAAGAAATGAACAAACTTAGAAGTGATTGATTTATTTGTACAAGCTTATCTGATCACTGGTATTATGATTTCTTTCTGATTTGGCTTTGAGATTTCTCTGGAGAATGCCTATAAATTTCTACTCCTATCTAATGAGGCTCCAGGAGAGGTTGTTGTGGATGTTTGCAGTGTAGCTTTCAGTTGCTTCTCCCACCCCCTAAAATTTGTTCATTTTTGTTTTTATTTTTTGTTAGTACGTTTGCAATACATAATGTTTACATTCCTTGTGAGATTGGTACATGTACATACCCCATCTTAATTCTTTCTCATCCCCTTACTCTCCCCATTTTCCCCCTCCCTTTATCTCCTGATCCCCTTCCCATTTGAGAAAGATGTCTCCTTACTGCCTATTCTTATTTATAATTTGCATTTTTCCTATAAGAGAAATCATGCTGTATTTACGCTTATGTGTCTGATTTATTTTATTAAACGTGATGGTCTCAAAGTATATCCATTTTCCTACAAATGACTCAAGTTTCTTCTTCTTTTTGACAGATTAGTACTCTATCGTGTATAAATACCATAATTTCTTTATGTTTATATGTTGATGGAAAATCATCTTCCAAGATTTAACTATTATGAGTTGTGCTGCTATAAACATAGGTATTCATGTGTCACTCTAACGTGTCATTAACTCAAGATACCTAGAAGAGTAATCGCTGGGCCAAATGGAATTTCTATTTTTAGTTTTTTGAGAAATCTCCATATTGATTTCCATAGTGGTTGTGGTAGATGGTACAATGCCCAGGTGTCCAACCTGTGACTAGGTGTCCCTCTCACAAGAAACTAGTTTATGCTGGCAGACACCCTTGTGACATTAACCAGTTTAATCCTACCAAAATAGATACTCTCTGGGACACCACTGACTGGTAAGAGAAGTTTGTGTGTGCTGGTGAGGTTGCACACAGGTGGTAGTACAACAAAACAGGAAGCAATAAAAACAGGGTAGGTAAGCAAGAGCAAATGGCAGGGAGTAGGAGAGGAAGGCTATGGGACTGTAACCCTGTTAAGGCTCTGAGGGCATCATTGCTTCTCTTTGGCTTTTCCTGTGAGGAGAATTGGGTAGTTTAAAGGAAACAAATGTGAAAGAGAAACTTACATGACTCTCTGGTGTTGACCATTCATTTTTTAAAGTGGCCAGTAACTGTGATTTGTTAGGTTTTGAGTCACTTAGAAGAGGAACAAGCATGCTACCTTACAAACAACCATTCTAGGAAGGAAATTTTAACTAGGCCTAATGTGAAAGGATCCACATGGCTCATACAACTTGTGATAGATCTACAAATGGATATCATGGCAACAACTGAAAACAGATTTATTTCAACTGGTGGTAAAGATGGGATTGGCAGCAAGATCTGCTTTTAGCTCTTCATTCTTTCTGCCTTACATACTATCTTTAAGTATTAGAGGAATCAAGGTCTGAAAATTAAATCTAGTCTGAAGGACCAGAGTTGTTCTTAGCTTTGATTTAGTTTACATCTTATTTACAAAGAAAAAAAATAGTATTAATGGTGTTCGCTATTCTTGGTCATTTGTACTTATTACCCATTAATAACATTTAAGTCCTTCCATATTAACACTTAATTTTTTTAACATTATTATCTCCATTTTATGGTTTAGGTCCCCAAAGTATAACGTGTTAAATATCTTGTTAAAGACTACACTTTCAAGCTGGGCTTAATGGTGCTTGCGTGTAATCCCAGCACTCTTGAGAGGCTGAAGCATGTGGATCACAAACTTGAGCCCAGCCTAGGCAATTTAATGACTTACTGAGATCCTGTCTCAAAATAAAAAGTACAAAAAGGAGGTTGGGGCATAACAGTGCAAAGATCCCATTTTGATCCCCCCCCACACACACATACACCACCACCAAAGCAAACAGACAAACAAAAGTCCTTACTAAGTTGTATAGCTGGATTATAAACTATGTGTCTCTGTCACCAGAGCCTATGCTTTGCAGTACAGAAAAAGTGCTGTGTCACCACTGCAATGGTGGGTAATGTATGCAAGAGTTAGTACTCTACAGTTATTTTCTAACACTATCTCAAAACGTTTTTGGATTTCTTTTGGCATAAGAAATACTAAAGAATTTCTGTTCTAATTGGTTTAATCTGCTCAATCAGGGGCATGGGTACCCTTGAATCAAAGCCAAATAGCACACCATCTTAGAGTATCAGTTGAAAAAATGTAAAAGAAAATACAGGATACATCTGAAATGCTTTTGCTAGAAATGTGAAAACTCGGGCCTTCCGTGTCACCTTTTCTTATTTGTGGCACTGACCTCTCACAAATAGTCATTATGTATTTGACTTGAATAGCTAAGGCACAGCTAGAAGAATAGTTTATTTTGTAGTAAAAGGAAGAAAACGAAGTACCTTTTAGGCCAAAAGTGAATTGCATTTAGGTTATCATGAGCATTTGTTAGCACAAACAATTCGGCAGTCATATTAGAAAATGGAAGTGCTCATTGGGTTTCTCCAATACTGAGATTCACATACATAGGAAGTACTAGGTTCTGATGTTGATTTTGTGTTTTAGTCTGTAGTGAAAATTATATGATATGACAGGCAGGATATTTTAAAAGTGGTTCTGAGTTCATTGATTTGTGTAGTGTATATAGGTATTCTTTTTATCCTTTCCTGCAAAGGTGCCTGCAATGCAGAAATCCAACAAGTGAGAATTTAGTTAAGTAACTTTTATTGTACTATCAACAAGCAGAATATTTGTGTTGTTCTATGCTGATCCAACTGGTGATAGTATAATAAAGAATATTTGTGATATTTATGCCTGTGATAAAGCATTACTCTCCCAAGAAGTTGTTTTAAATCTGCCTGAGTTATATGCATTATGCCCAGGAGAAACAAATATGAACTTCTTTATCTTTTTTTTTCATTGAATTTATTGATACTTTTTAGGTACACAGTGTAGTTACATTCGTCATTGGGATCTTGTAACTTTACATGACAGACCTTGATTCTCATTTTTTCCCCATTCCCCTGACCTCCCTTCACCTCCTCCCCTCCCCTTCGTTGATATTTTGTATCATTCTCTTAGTTTCCATTGCATTGATTTCTGCTCTGATCTTTATAATTTCCTCCCTTGTATGAGCTTAGGGTTTCTCTTGCTCTTCTTTTTCTAGGATCTTAAGATTTATCATAAGTTTATTTCAGTTTGCTCTGTTTTCCTAGTGTGAGCATTCACTGCTATGAATTTTTCACGTAGAACTGCTTTCATTGTGTTCCATAGATTCCTGTATGTTGTGTTGGCATTATCATTTTTTGTAAAAACTGACTAATTTCTTCTTTAATTTCCTCTGTGACCCATTGATTGTTCAGGAGAGTATTGTTAGATTTCCATGTGTTTGTGAAGTTCTTACTGTTTCTTATGTTATTGGTCTCCAGCTTAATTGCTCTGTGGTCTGATAATATACATGGGGTAACTTCAATTCTTTTACATTTATTTAAACATGTTCTGTGAACTAGTATGTGTTCTATTTTGGAGAATGACCCATGTGCAGCCAAAAAGAATGTATATTCTGATTTTGTGTGGTGGAACACTCTGTAGACATCTGTTAAGTGCATTTGTTCAAAGCTTGGTTCAGTTTTAGTACTTGGTTGTTGATTTTTTTTCTAGATGATATATTTGTGATGGTGAGATATTTAGGTCCCCCACTACAATTGAATTAGTACTTATTTGGTTTTTTTCATGTCCCTTAATATTCATTTTGTATAGGTAGGGTCATTAATATTTGATGCATATATATTTATGATTGTCATCTCTTCCTCTTGGATTGTTCTCCTTACAAGGATGTAGCGACCCTCTTTGTCTCTCTTAGTTTTGGTTTGAAATTTATTTTGTCTGCAAATAAGATAACTACCCCTGCCTTTTTCTAGGCTCCTTTCACATGGAGAACTATTTTCCACACTTTTCCTTTCAGAGTATGAGTTTCTTTTTTAACTACGTGTGTTTCTTGTGTACAACATATTGTTGGATTTTGCTTCTTAAACCATTCCTCCAGTCTATTTCTTTTGATTGGTGAATTGAAGCCACTAACATTGATAGTTATAACTGATCTGTATTGACTTATCATTGTCATATTATTATCCTGTTGTTGGCTCTTTTTATCCCCCCCCCCCTTTAATTTCTTGCCTTGCCTGAATGATTTGCTCTGTTGGGCCTCATGGTGTTGTGACCTTGTTTGTCTTACTCTAGGATATTGTTTAGATTGTTTGGAGTGCTGGTTTGGTAGTCATGAAGTTTCCCAGGTGTTCTTTGTCATGGAAGTATCTTGTTTCCCCATCCTTTTTTTTTTTTTTGAGACAGGTTCTTACTATGTAGTTGAGACTGACCTGGAACTCACTATGTACTCCAGGCTGGTCTCAAACTCACAGTGATCCTCCTGCCTCAGCCTCCCAAGTGCTGGGATTACAGGTGTGCATCACCATGCCTGGCTCCCCATCCATTTTAAAAGAGAATTTTGCAGGATACATCAGTGTAGGTTGGATGTGGTTTTATTTTAGGGCTTGAACTACCTCACTCCAGGCTCTCC